GAGAGAGAGAGAGAGAGAGAGAGAGAGAGACAGAGACAGAGACAGAGAGAGAGACAGAGACAGAGACAGACAGAGACAGAGACAGACAGAGACAGAGACAGAGAGAGACAGGGAGAGAGAGAGAGAGAGAGAGAGAGAGAGAGAGAGAGAGAGGCCTCAGCGTGAGATGTGCGTGGCATCCTTCACATGCTGTGTTATCGGCACCAGCCTGTGCTGTGGACCAGCGAGGGCTTCCGGAGCTGACGATGGCGCATGTGTCCTCACGCCGAAACTGGACAACTGCTGCACTACACATGCCCTGCAGGGTCGCAGCAGGCTCAGGAATTCCATTCCGGTGGCATTAGCACAGTAATGCACGCTAGTCCTAATACACGTTTATAATCTTATTGCCTAATTGTCTCAGCTTTTTTTTTTTTTTTTTTTTTTTTTACTGTATTTCTGATACTTTTCCACAACCATCAAGATCAAGAGCCAGAGGGTTGGAGGAGAGCGGAGGGAAAGGGCTGAAACATGGCAGCGCGGATGCCTTATGGGCCCGTCCCGGCGTCCCAGGAGGAGCGTCAGCATCAGGTGCTGCAAATGTGAACTCATAGACATTTTTAAAACTTAAAAAAATATTCCAATAGGAAAAACAACTCGCCATATACTAATATCTAGAGCTAACACCACTGCCTCCAGAGTAGCTTATTTAGGTCTTTCCTGTTTCGTCTTGTTTAAAAAAAAAAAAAAAAAAAAAAAAATGCCACGTATTAATTTTAAACATTTTCTGACTGTGGGTTTTGTGAGGGGTTTTTTGTTTTGTTTTGTTTTTCTTCTTAGTAACTTGGTTAAAGCTGAGAAAAGAAGAAAGTTAAGAAAGTGAAAAATCATACCAGCATGTTTTTGTTCAGAATGAAAACGTTTAAGAGAAATTGAAACTAACCTTTAAACTCACTTGAAACTCACTTTTGTATGAGCTGCTGGCTCCTACCTCAGTTACAGTGGTGACTTAAAATCGACCTTTTTTTATTTCCGAGCGTTTACACTACGAAGACCCATTTACACAGGGCTCTCACTTCTAGGGTATTCTTGCAAACCAAGTGGGTGCCTTTGTACATGATGATGGATGGGACAAGTAGAACAGATCACCCCACAAGGCCAAGCAGCATGTGATGTAAAAACTACAAGCCATGCTCAGAATACGCACACACTCCTGTGTAACTGATTAGGAGGAGCAGAGGTGAGCCACAGTTTTCAGTGAGAAAAGCAGTAAGACGTTAACAGGGCCCTACTGGTTATTTTAACCAGCAGTGGGCCTAACATACAGTTATATTTGAAATGCGTCAGTCAGAATGGAGCTCACTCTTCATACCTTTCCAAATTGTTGTTCCATCCTCCAAGCTAACTGCATAAAGCCACTGCAGCTCTAATGTCTAGTACTGGACAAAGTAGGGCCGTTCTCAGGTCCTCCGGCTAACAGCAAGATGGTATTCACATAGGGTTGGATAGTTGCCTTTAATATGGACATGATTTATTTGAAGGATTGGAAGAATAATTTGTATAAAGGGATGACAAAGAGTGTGGCTTCATCAAAACCACCTTCATGTAGACCTTGTCCAAGACCAGCCGTGACAGACCAGCTATGGACAGCCCTTTACAGCACATAGAATGCTTTTGTGCAGTGACAGGCATGCCACACACACCCTATCGTTTGGTCTCAGCTGGCTCTCAAAGACATCAATTCAGTCCAGTCCCTATTAGGAGGGGATAATGCTTCATGCAGCAATACATAAAATGGAAATAAAAATAGCATCTAGGGGCCGGGGAGATGGCTCAGTGGAATAAGTGCTTCCCTGGCAAGCACAAGGGCCTGAGTTCAATCCCTGGTTCCACCAAAAATAAAAAATAAAAAAATAACATCTTACCACTCTGTAGCTCATATATGTATTTGGTACATTGGTATTCAAATGCCCACTACTATGAGTAAATTATAGAAGTTCAAAACAAAATCTACAAATTGTGCCTACAATTTGTCATGGTGTAGTTGTTTCCAGTAACTTAACTACAGCAAGTAAAAATTTATCATTAGTAAAATGTGGAATATCAGAGACATAAACTTAACTGCAAAATGTTGAAAGCACTTTTTTTTAAGGCCTGGTAGATAGCTCAGTGGCATAAGAACCTGCCTGACAAGCGGAAAGTCCTAAATTCAATCCCTGGTACAAAAAAAGAGGAGGAGGAGGAAGAGGAAGAAGGAGGAGGAGGAGGAGGAGAGGGGTAGGGGAGGGGAGAGGGGAGAGGAGAG